TTTCTGATATTTAAGGTTTTTCTCAATTCTTATCCATTTGAACTGTTAAAAACAATAATGATGTCGTGACGTTACGCACGATGTTGGTATGAATTCGATTTTGCTATAGATGATATTTAAAATCAATGCTTAGACTGTTCAGCTGGATAAAGATATGGTGATTATTCATTTGGTTGAATTGAGAATAATATAGGCTTGAACTTGAAATATAAAATACCATAAATTATAATACGTGATTTTAAAAATAAGAAGATGTGGTATGATTGCCAATGAGAAAACTCCCCACCAGAGACCGAATGACATAAAAGTTAACACCTGTAGGTCACCTTAATTCCTTAAACAATGAGCAAAACCCATACCGCATAGTAAGCTATAAAGGCCCCGAAATGACAAATGTAAAAAAAAATAAAACGAGAAAACGAACGGCCTGATTTCTGTACAAAACAATGAACGAAAAACAAATATGATTATATTGATATACAGCAACAAACGACAACTACTGAATTACAGGCTGCTGACTCGGGGCAGACACATACAGAATGTGGCGGGGATACACATGTTTGCTGGCGCCAAACCCTCTCCCTAACCTGGGGCAGTGGGGGTAACGGTACAACATTAGAACAAACTATAAAAATCAGTTGAAATGGGCTTAACTAATCAGATCAATATAAAGCAGAAAAACAACAAAACACAGACCGGACGTGGCAGCGAATTTCTACATCACTCACAACAAAACAAAAAAGATACAAAGTAGAGATCTGAGAGTACTCGCAGTTACTGGCAGCTAGTTCAAAGCCAATTACACACAGAAACTTCAAATCCAACGTTTCATTTTTGTGGCAAAAATATCAGAGTTTTATGTCTTTATATCCTATTTTTTCACTGATCGTCGAAAAATAAGGTAGGAATGCAGCTTTTGTTATAGATATTAGCATGTTGAACATCACTATAACCGTCAACCTGAAAATGGCTCGTTTGAAAACGGTCCGAAAAATGTCAAATTAAGCATATATTGGGTTTGTGCATTTATATCGTGATATCGGAAAAAGCTGAGAGGAATACTATTTACAGTATATAAAGTACATTTACTTTATTCCTGGTTCATTATATTTTCTTGCCGGAAAAATTTCTACAGTGACTACCGCAATTACTTCAAAAAGTATAGCCATCTTGTCATAACGAAAAAAAAACGGTTACCTATCACCTTTCAAGTGGCAATTACAATACAAATATAAATAAGAAGATGTGGTATGAGTGCCAATGAGACAACTATCCATCCAAGTCACAATGTGTAAAAAGTAAACAATTATAGGTCAAAGTACGGCCTTCAACACGGAGCCTTGGCTCACACCGAACAGCAAGCTATAAATTATAGGGCCCCAAAAAGACTACTGTAAAACAATTCAAACAGGAAAACCAATCTATAATCTATATAAAATACGAGAAACGAGAAACACTTATGAACCACACCAACAAACGACAACCACTGAACAACAGGCTCCTGACTTAGGATAGGTCAAACAAATGCAGCGGGTTTAAACGTTTTAACAGGCGCCAACCTTCGCCCTATAACCTGAAACAGTGGTATAAAATTACAACATAAAAAGACACACAATAAAATATCAATTGAAATGGCTTAACTCGATCAAAAAGACAATACACAAAAACAAGTAAATATACACTGAACGAATAAGTTTGATCTATGACATAATATAAATAAAAAAGATGTTTCAATGTCAAAAAGACAGCTTTAACCTAGAACAAAATGGCGTTAAATAAAGTAACGTACACATGTCATTCCTCCTATTCCCACTTTTTATAAATCTGGTAAGAAAAGTTAAAATTTCATGTGGGAATAGGTGGAAAACTTGTGAAAACAAAGGATTATACTGTATAAACATTGTTTCATCAACTTTTAATTGGCAAGTGTTTTTTTTATATGTAATAGGTTATTTTTGTATGTGTACAAATTCTGTGTTTTTAATTAAAATTAATATGAAAGAAATGGAAACAAATATAAGTAAGATATTTTATTTCTTTTATAACACAAATTCAACAGTTGATTCAAGCAAGCATTATAATATGAAAACAAACAATACAAGTTAACAACACTAAAACAAATCACACATTGTAGCACACACATTAGAAATTCACTGTATATAAGTCTATTAAAGTTTATTAATCTATTCAACGTGAAGAAGATGGGAAACTGCATCACCAAACTGTACGGTGTCTAACCTTAAGGTCTTCTAATCTGTTGTTGATTTCGACATACTTTCTTTTTTGGGCCACTCTCTTCCCACCGGCTGCATACCGGATCATGGTCAGGGCGTTGAAAGCTTCCTCATGTTTCAGTAGTTTTAAGAGTTTAAAGATTTTTGGATGTGGGCGCTGGACATGTTTCTTCAGTTTGCTGTGCTATCCCTCTTGATGACGTGAAGTTCTCGGTCTCTTTGTTGTGTAATGGTCCCAAAGGTGACTGTTCTGTTCGACCCAGTATGTTGTTACATAGTCTGTACAGGGCGTGTAGTTGATGTTGGTAGCAATATGATCTATGTCGTATAGGGCATTAAACCACATATCAAGTGGAAGGACAGCGGCACGGCATACTAGTTGATGAATGTTGTTGTCTTCTTTGTTTGGAACCTGAATCCCTGTTTCTTGTGCTTTTCTCCAGATGCATTGTGTGTAGTTGAAAAAAAAACCAGCCTTTTGCATTGATGACAGGAAATACAGAATATGCTTCATTTCGGATGGAGACTTCATAGTCCAGGGAGATAGTGGTAGGCTGAAGTTGTAATTGGTGGCTTACATCTTTGAGTAAAGTCAGGAACCTTGTGTAGACTAGTTCACTCTTGGCTGGAAGTAAACTGTGTACCAGTGGATACATTGCGCCGTCAACCGTGAAATGTGTAAAGTTGGAAGAATAGGCTCGGATAGGAGTAAAATGTACCATCACGATATATGATATCTGCAGATGCTAAGTGTGTTAGAATCTTTTGAGTACTGAAGATTAACATACGCCCAACTGCGTTGTCGTCTGTTAGCAGGAATGGGCTACCTTTGGTAGTACGTGCCCAAAATACCATCTATGTTGATTTCATCAACAGATTTTGGTAAAACTGGTAGGTTCTTCTTGCATTTGTTGTACATGGAAATCTTGCAAGATGGGAAAGTTTGTTATAATATTATCTATCATCAATTTATTTGTTCGGATGACAATTTTTTAAGTTTAAAAATTCTATGATTTTTTAATCTTACTTCTACATGTATTTCTCTGACTTATTCTTTATTTTTTAAGTAACTCTTTGGAGAAGAAGAAGAAGAAGAAGAAGAAGAAGAAACATTTCACAAATAAACAGTATATTAAATTTTTTTTAAATAATATTATACTTAAACAGTGTAAGAAACATGTTTTCTTTTAGAAAAATACAGGTAAATCTTCGGTGAATTTTTAATTAACCTTAATTGTTATAAAAACAAATTATTTATCAAACATCTATTGTTATTTGCATGTGGGAATAGAAGGAATAGTGATTTTTAAAAAGTGGGAACACCATAATTTTGTTGTTACAATGTGTTAGTACAGAAACATTTTGTATTTCTTTTATTTCAATGAAGTGGAATAAAAGTCTAATAGGATTGTAAGTATGCTTTATTTTATCACCTTGCACGTTCACACCATGGCTGTGGTTTTCTATAGCAGTTCTTTAAAATTTCTGACCAGTTGAACAGTTTGGTTTGATAAAACAAATTGCAATTTGATCATAATTTTGAATTAACTGCAATAGGTGGAGAGCAACACTTACAGTCAAGTCACAGTAAAAATAAATCAATGTGGGGTTCGACTGCCTGTAAATAATCATGGTTTGATCGTAGAAAATAAAAACTGGTAGTCAAAGTACATAATTGGTGTTTTTTCTATTATTTTGTACTTATTATTCTTATTATATTCTAATTGACAGAACATGCTCCTAGTATTCATTAAGTTGCATGTAAGTCATCATTTTTTGGGGGGGAGACAAATTAAAATAAGCATTTTTCCTTTTTTTTCTGGATCCTATTGCAGTTTATAATGTATAGGCATATCATCCAATAAAGCACGATTTTATTAATTTTATAAAAACACAAATTGTTTAAAATAGGGTCACGGTCTGTCTCTTTATTTTCTCATCATATCCTGGATGATTTGATGGTAGTTGTTGCTTTTCCAATTTAAATATAAGAGGCCCAAATTAAGCTGGCTAGCTGGCTGTCCGAGAAAAATGGTCAAATATGCTTTTTTCACTTTAGGAATGTTCAAGGTATGTGGGGAAATATCTTTTGATCAGGTTTATAGTTTCTGAATACTGAAATTGAAAAAATCGTTGGTCAAATAAATTGTATGTAGCGGGTCTGTCTCAGTTATGTACAGTCATTGTTATTCAAATTTCTCATATGATGATTATTAACTGACATCTCCCTCCTTTTCATTTGTCTTCGTATATTGTACCAAAATATCCTAATACAAAGTTTAATTATGAATACTTCAATAATATGTCACAAACATAATTTATCTGAACGAATAAGTTGTTCATGCCTTACGTATCATGCTTTGACTTGAAAAGAAATTTCGTATGGTATTATGCAAACTGCTGTCCATCTTTTATATGGAAGTCCAAAGTATGATAACTGGCAGGGTGTTGCTGGTATAATGAAATAATTGAATGCACGATTATATCATTTCATCGAAATAACTTGTAATAAGGGGACCGTCGTCCATTTGATTTTCAGGCTTGATGGGAGGAGGATTTTGAAAAATATTACCCTGAGTCGGTAAGAGCTGAAAAAGAAAAATATTTATGCAACATAAAATGCAGGAAATAATTGTGTACAAAAATAAAAATTAATTTTCGCATAGCAAAAAAAATAAGAATAAGTTTTTATTTGTTTTTTGTTCGTTTTTATTTATTATTGTATATTTAACTTTATGGTATTAGACTTTACTTTTATCTATGTCAGAAGTGCGTTTGAAATCAAAATATTTTTATTGTTACATTCAAGAAATTAACCGACATCGATCATTGAAATTGTAATTTTGCAAAAAATGTGAAAATGAGTTATTTACCTGGCACCGCAAGTTTAATCGAAGAAATAGATAGTATGTTTAGTCAATATTCATAATATCGACAAATCTGTTTAAGAAAAATTCCTTGCTAAAGAAAAAACGACATGTCGAAAATTTTGAAAAATGAAACGAAATTTTTCAACATATATGACCAGGGCTGCCAAGTCTCACTCACGCATTTTCATGCTTAATTGGTGGCATTTTCCTATGATCTAATGTTTTTTCTCTTTGATTTTTACGATTTTGGCCAAATCTCACGAATTTGCATTATTAAAAGTTGGCAGAACTGTATGACCTGGGACTATGTTAGTATAAATGTCCCAGATATGACATACATGTAGGTTAATATGAGGCAGGCATTACCTGTGAAAGGGGACGAAGTCTGTATGAATTATTTTTTTTAATTCAAACATATTTTCACTTCAAAATCTGTTAAAAAAAGAAAAGGAAATACCGTTTCCGATTTCGGTTCTGTTGTTAGGGATTTTAGTTGTGACGTTATTTGTGTTATGACGTCATATTCAATGTAAACAAAGAAACGCTATCATCAGGTAACAGTTTTTCATATCAAGCCATTCAAGGAATTATTAAAAATGAAATTGGTATTGCGTTCCTTCCTATATTTTACTAGACTGATAAATATATATTTTACTCAAAGACTCATGCAAACGAGACCGGAAAAAGGAAGTGGACTTCTGCGCAAATGCGGGAAAACAAAAAAGTCTGAAAATAAAAAAGTTAACGATTTTGAGTTGATTAGTAGAATGAAAATTTCGGGAATTTTTCCTGATTTTTTTTTTTTTTTTTTTTTTTTTAATTTTATTGATTTTTCTACCGTAATAGGGGACTTTGTCCCCTTATAATTTCAATTGAGTACTCAGAAACTGAGTTTAATTACTACATAAAGTAAAAGAAGAGATCAGAGACCGCGGTTGATCATAACTTCAAATTAATTCTGAGTAAAGACTAAAGATGAACCTGGGTATCTCGATTTCCCAAGGACTCCCAAGAACTAATTATTGACCCGAGGACCGATAAATTTGACCAAGGACTTGATTTTAAATGGTGTAATACTGCTTAAACTTGTATTAAAGTATATAATTTTAAGTTTTAAGTCGTCTTTACTCAATAAATGTACAATTTAACTTTTGAAACATGTATTTTTAAACATCTTAACGAATTATAATTAATTGCATTAAAAAAAATTTAATTAACAACATTCAGGTGATCCTATGTAAAATAAAGGAAATAATTTGATAGACTTCATATTCTGAATGTAGTTATGATAACTTTAAATTTAAGTTTTCTAATATTATTTATATAGTGTTGTCTACCTTTTGAATAATTACGTCCGCCTTATTGTTTTCAACAATGAATTCGCATACAGGACATTCAATTTCAAATCGATTTCTTGAAGTTAAATTACACTTTTGTTGAGTAAAAACGACAAATATCTTAAAATTATATACTTTAATATCTGTAAAAGTAGTATAACACCATATAAAATCAAATCCTTGAGTCAAATCTATCGGTCTTCGGGTCAATAATTAGTTCTTGGGAGTCCTCAGGAAATCGTGGTACCAGATGAACCTGTGCACCTGTATAATTTTAGGCCATGTCTTGTGGTTTGGATTGATAAAAGTTATATTAAAGGTCTTTTCACCACCAAACACCACTGAACACATTACAGTACACAGTCAGTCGAACAATATTCTTTTTACAATTGATAATTGTGATAATTTCAAATTATATAAAATGTTTTCACTAACATGATTTTTTATAATTGAAAAGTAGACATTTAGATAATATAGCATGTAAATCATGGGAAAGTATTTTTGTTGAATCTGAAGCGATAACATTTTTTGTCAATTTTGATTCTCAACTATTATGCATATAGATATATGAACAAATGATAATATGATTAAGTTTTACTTAATTTAATCTATTTTATCGTTACATGGTTAAATATTACTATTTTCCATAGGGGTTAGTGGTCTATCGGGGTGTTTGGTGGTGTTTCATTGTAAAAAGACCAACCCAAAGTGCTTGACTACAGAATTTGGATATTTTATTTTTATACGACCGCAAAAAAGTTTGCGGTCGTATATTGGTATGACGTTGGCGTCGTCGTCCGAAGACACATTGGTTTTCGCACTCTAACTTAAGTTTTAAGTGAATGGATCTCTATGAAATTTTACCATAAGGTTCAATACCACAAAAGGAAGGTTGGGATTGATTTTGGGGGTTATGGTACCAACAGTTAAGGAATTGGGGGCCAAAAATAAGCATTTTTGTAACTTCCAGACATAACTTGTGTGTTAGTGTATGGATCTTTCTGACATTATACCACAAGTTTCCATATCACAAAGGGAATGCTGGGATTGATTTTGGGGGTAATTGCCTCAAAATTTTAGGAATTAGGGGCCAAAATAGGGGGAAAAAAACAAGCATTTTTCTAGTTTGATGATAATAACTTGTGTGTAAGTGTATGGATCTTTCTGATTATGTACTACAAGGTTCCATATCACAAAAGGAAAGCTGGAATTGAGTTTGGGTGTAATTGCCCAAAACGTTAAGGAATAAGGGGCCAAAAAGGGGCCAAAAATAAGCATTCTTCTAGTTTCCAGACAATAACTTGTGTTCAAGTGTAAGGATCTCTCTGAAATTGTACTGCAACCTACCATACCACAAAGGGAAGGCTGGGATTGATTTTTGGGGTAATTGCCTCAAAAAATTTAGGAATTAGGGGCCAAGAAGGGGCAAAAAACAAGCATTTTTCTAGTTTCAGGACAATAACTTGTTTGTAAGTGTATGCATCTTTATGAAATTGTACTACAATGTACAAGGTTCCATATCACAAAGGGAAAGCTGGGTTTGAGTTTTGGGTAATTGCCTTAAACGTTGAGGAATTTGGGGCCAAAAAGGGGCCAAAAAACAAGCATTTTTCTAGTTCCCAGGTTTCCAGACAATAACTTGTGTTCAAGTGTATGGATCTCTCTGAAATTGTACTGCAAGGTACCATACCACAAAGGGAAGGTTGGGATTGAGTTTGGTGGTTGATGAATCATAAGGGGGTTCAAAAAATTTGGGGGAGGGATTTTTTTTTCCTTTTTTTCCTTTTTTTTCTTTAAAATTTTCCATTTTAAATTCATTATTTCTGATTTATATATAAAAGCAAATAATAATGATATGGTTTGATATGGTTTGAATAGGTAAATTCAATTTTTTTAAGTTCTTAGACAACATTCATTCTGTGTCAGAAACTTATGCTGTGTCATATATTTAATCACAGTCCAAATTCAGTGCTGTATCAAGCTTGAATGTTGTGTCCAACTGTTCAGGGTTCAACCTCTGCAGTCGTATCAAGCTGCGCCCAGCGGAGCATTTTATTCTTGTTTGCACTGAATATTCAACTTTCTACTACTAAACCACATACTGAACAATACTAAGCTTGCCTTACCTTGTTTTGGATGAATTTATCCACTCTGAAAATATTCCTTATTTTACTATCCATACACAAAAACAAGTTGGTAGTTTTACTTAATTTTGCATTTTTACGTTGCAGCAGCTGTAAATTTAAGAACATGTCACTGTTTGTCTGGAAAGCTATTTTGCTATTTGGTGAGGTCAAATTTCTGATTACCTAATCTCCTCATATGGCACCATGAAGCTGTCTAAAGGCCTGTTATTGAAATTTGGATATAAATAAATGTTTAAAACAACAGCTTTTAAACATAACTTTTCACAGGGTGCTAGATTCTTTGATTATTTCTTGATTTTTTGCTTCTTTTCCAATATTTTCTTTGGCACAAGCTTTTCTCTTCTAATTCCTTAGAAAATAACAAAATATTTCTCTTATATCTTATACTTCTTTTGCAATAGTTAATTTGGGCTATGTTTAATTTTCCAAAATTCCTGCTGTTAGATTCAATAATAGTGATGTCATCATAAACCAAATTTGATATAATGGGGCATTGAACATTTAACTGCATGCTAACCGGTTTGTCCTCTGGATCAGTATTAAAGTCAAGTGTCTATTTTAACAGAAATTACAAATGTTATTCATTAATATTGCAGAGAAATTACTAGTTGTACTAAGAGACGGCAGAACACTAATTGGATATCTCAGGAGCATTGACCAATTTGGTTTGTATTTTATTTTTTATTCCACCTGGCTTTTTGTCATTTTTAGCTCACCTGGCCCGAAGGGCCAAGTGAGCTTTTTTCTCATCACTTGGCGTCTGTCGTCGTTAACTTTTACAAAAATCTTCTCCTCTGAAACTACTTGGCCAAATTAAACCAAACTTGTCCACAATCATCATTGGGGTATCTAGTTTAAAAAATGTGTCCGGTGACCCGGCCAACCAACCAAGATGGCCGCCATGGCTAAAAATAGAACATAGGGGTAAAATGTAGATTTTGGCTTATATCTCCGAAACCAAAGCATTTAGAGCAAATCTGACAGGGTAAAATTGTTTATCAGGTCAAGATCTATCTGCCCTGAAATTTTCAGATGAATCGGACAACCCGTTGTTGGGTTACTGCCCCTGAATTGGTAATTTTAAGGAAATTTTGCCGTTTTTGGTTATTATCTTGAATATGATAATAGATAGAGATAAACTGAAAACAGCAATAATGTTCAGCAAAGTAAGATCTACAAATAAGTCAACTTGACCAAAATGGTCAGTTGACCCCTTAAGGAGTTTTTGCCCTTTATAGTCAATTTTTAACCAGTTTTCGTAAATTTTTGTAATCTTTTACAAAAATCTTCTCCTCTGAAACTACTTGACCAAATTAAACCAAACTTGGCCACAATCATCATTGGGGTATCTAGTTTAAAAAATGTGTCCGGTGACCCGGCCAACCAACCAAGATGGCCGCCATGGCTAAAAATAGAACATAGGGGTAAAATGTAGATTTTGGCTTATATCTCTGAAACCAAAGCATTTAGAGCAAATCTGACGGGGTAAAATTGTTTATCAGGTCAAGATCTATCTGCCCTGAAATTTTCAGATAAATCATACAACCAGTTGTTGGGTTGCTGCCCCTGAATTGGAAATTTTAAGGAAATTTTGCCGTTTATGGTTATTATCTTGAATATGATAATAGATAGAGATAAACTGTAAACAGGAATAATGTTCAGCAAAGTAAGATCTACAAATAAGTCAACATGACCAAAATGGTCAGTTGACCCCTTAAGGAGTTATTGCCCTTTATAGTCAATTTTTAACCAGTTTTCGTAAATTTTTGTAATCTTTTACAAAAATCTTCTCCTCTGAAACTACTAAGACAAATTTAACCAAACTTGTCCACAATCATCATTGGGGTATCTAGTTTTAAAAATGTGTCCGGTGACCCGGCCAACCAACCAAGATGGCCGCCATAGCTAAAAATAGAACATAGGGGTAAAATGTAGATTTTGGCTTATATCTCTGAAACCAAAGCATTTAGAGCAAATCTGACATGGGGTAAAATTTTATATCAGGTCAAGATCTATCTGCCCTGAAATTTTCAGATGAATCGGACAACCCGTTGTTGGGTTGCTGCCCCTGAATTGGTAATTTTAAGAAAATTTTGCAGCTTTTGGTTATTATCTTGAATATTATTATAGATAGAGATAAACTGTGAACAGCAATAATGTACAGCAAAGACAAAGTAAGATCTACAAATAAGTCAACATGACCAAAATGGTCAGTTGACCCCTTAAGGAGTTTTTGCCCTTTATAGTCAATTTTTAACCAGTTTTCGTAAATTTTTGTAATCTTTTACAAAAATCTTCTCCTCTGAAACTACTTGACCAAATTAAACCAAACTTGTCCACAACCATCATTGGGGTATCTAGTTTAAAAAATGTGTCCGGTGACCCGGCCAACCAACCAAGATGGCGGCCATGGCTAAAAATAGAACATAGGGGTAAAATGTAGATTTTGGCTTATATCTCTGAAACCAAAGCATTTAGAGCAAATCTGTCGAGGTAAAATTGTTTATCAGGTCAAGATCTATCTGCCCTGAAATTTTCAGATAAATCGGACAACCAGTTGTTGGGTTGCTGCCCCTGAATTGGTAATTTTAAGGAAATTTTGCCGTTTATGGTTATTATCTTGAATATGATAATAGATAGAGATAAACTGTAAACAGGAATAATGTCAGCAAAGTAAGATCTACAAATAAGTCATCATGACCAAAATGGTCAGTTGACCCCTTAAGGAGTTATTGCCCTTTATAGTCAATTTTTAACCATTTTTCGTAAATTTTTGTAATCTTTTACAAAAATCTTCTCCTCTGAAACTACTAAGACAAATTTAACCAAACTTGTCCACAATCATCATTGGGGTATCTAGTTTAAAAAATGTGTCCGGTGACCCGGCCAACCAACCAAGATGGCCGCCATGGCTAAAAATAGAACATAGGGGTAAAATGTAGATTTTGGCTTATATCTCTGAAACCAAAGCATTTAGAGCAAATCTGACAAGGGTAAAATTGTTTATCAGGTCAAGATCTATCTGCCCTGAAATTTTCAGATGAATCGGACAACCCGTTGTTGGGTTGCTGCCCCTGAATTGGTAATTTTAAGAAAATTTTGCAGCTTTTGGTTATTATCTTGAATATTATTATAGATAGAGATAAATTGTAAACAGCAATAATGTACAGCAAAGACAAAGTAAGATCTACAAATAAGTCAACATGACCAAAATTGTCAATTGACCCCTTAAGGAGTTATTGCCCTTTATAGTCAATTTTTTACAATTTTCATAAATTTTGTAAATTTTTGTAAATTTTTACAAAATATTTTCCACTGTAACTACTGGGCCAAGTTCATTATAGATAGAGATAATTGTAAGCAGCAAGAATGTTCAGTAAAGTAAGATCTACAAACACATCACCATCACCAAAACACAATTTTGTCATGAATCCATCTGTGTCCTTTGTTTAATATGCACATAGACCAAGGTGAGCGACACAGCCTCTTTAGAGCCTCTAGTTTTTGAGACTTTAAGTTCCATGTATTGTGTGAATATATGCTCATCATTGAAGTTTTAAAATGAGGTAAACTTCAGCTGTTATTAAGAAACTAGGATGCTTTATCTATGAACTCAGAATACTGGGACATCATCTTTTTAATTTTAGATGGTGGCATGTAAAATACCTTGAAGTCATAGTTGACAAGGTATTTCAACTAGAGGCTCTAAAGAGCCTGTGTCGCTCACCTTGGTCTATGTGCATATCAAACAAAGGACACAGATGGATTCATGACAAAATTGTGTTTTGGTGATGGTGATGTGTTTGTAGATCTTACTTTACTGAACATTCTTGCTGCTTACGATTATCTCTATCTATAATGAACTTGACCCAGTAGTTACAGTGGAAAATATTTTGTAAAAATGTAAAATTGTAAAAAATTGACTATAAAGGGCAAAAACTCCTTAAGGGGTCAATTGACAATTTTGGTCATGTTGACTTATTTGTAGATCTTACTTTGCTGTACATTATTGCTGTTCACAGTTTATCTCTATCTATAATAATATTCAAGATAATAACCAAAAGCTGCAAAATTTTCTTAAAATTACAAATTCAGGGGCAGCAACCCAACAACGTGTTGCCTGATTAGTCTGAAAATTTCAGGGCTGATAGATCTTGACCTAATGAACAATTTTATCCTTGTAAGATTTGCTCTAAATGCTTTGGTTTCAGAGATATGAGCCAAAAACTGCATTTTACCCTATGTTCTATTTTTTAGCCATGTCGGCCATCTTGGTTCGCGGGCGGGGTCATCGGACACATTTTTTAAACTAGATACCCTTATGATGATTGTGGACAAGTTTGGTTAAATTTGTCTTAGTAGATTCAGAGGAGAAGATTTTTGTAAAAGATTACAAAAATTTATGAAAAATGGTTAAAAATTGACTATAAAGGGCAATAACTCCTTAAGGGGTCAACTGACCATTTTGGTCAAGTTGACTCATTTGTAGATCTTACTTTGCTGAACATTATACACTTTATCTCTATCTATAATAATATTCAAGATAATAACCAAAAACGGCAAAATTTCCTTAAGATTACCAATTCAGGGGCAGCAACCCAACAACGGGATGTCAGATTCATCTGAAAATTTTACGGCAGATAGATCTTGACCTGATAAACAATTTTACCCCATGTCAGATTTGCTCTAAATGCTTTGGTTTCAGAGATATAAGCCAAAATCTACATTTTACCCCTATGTTCTATTTTTAGCCATGGCGGCCATCTTTGTTGGTTGGCCGGGTCACCTGACACATTTTTATATGACCGCAAAAATTGAAAATTTTTTGGTCGTATATTGGTATGACGTTGGCGTCGTCATCGTCGTCGTCGTCGTCGTCCGGCGTCGTCTGGCGTCGTCCGAAGACACATTGGTTTTCGCACTCTAACTTTAGTTTAAGTGAATGGATCTCCATGAAATTTTACCATAAGGTTCAATACCACGAAAGGAAGGTTGGGATTGATTTTGGGGGTTATGGTACCAACAGTTAAGGAATTAGGGGCCAAAAAGGGGCCAAAAATAAGCATTTTTGTAACTTCCAGACAATAACTTGTGTGTAAGTGTATGGATCTCTCTGACATTGTACCACAAGGTTCCATATCACAAAGGGAAGGCTGTAATTGATTATGGGGGTAATTGCCTCAAAATTTTAGGAATTAGGGGCCAAAAAAGGGGCAAAAAACAAGCATTTTTCTAGTTTCATGACAATAACTTGTGTGTAAGTGTTTGGATATTTCTGAAATTGTACTACAAGGTTCCATATCACAAAGGGAAAGCTGGAATTGAGTTTGGGGGTAATTGCCCTAAACGTTTAGGAATTGGGGGCCAAAAAGGGGCCAAAAATAAGCATTTTTCTAGTTTCCAGACAATAACTTGTGTTCAAGTGTATGGATTTCTCTGAAATTATACTGCAAGGTACCATACCACAAAGGGAAGGCTGGGATTGAGTTTGGGGGTGATGAATCATAAGGGGGTTCAAAAATTTGGGGGGGGGGATTTTTTTTTTTTCTTTTTTTTTCTTTTAAAATTTTCCATTTTAAGTTGGTTATTTCTGATTTATATTTAAAAGCAAATAATAATGATATGGTAGGAGATACACACCAAACAGGATGTGTAAATTATTATATAATAAGTATTGTGCAATAGCAAGAAATTTTCAATTCCACAGTATTGCACAATAGCAAGAAATCTTCAATTGCACAGTATTGCGCAATAGCAAGAAATCTTCAATTGCACAGTATTGCGCAATAGCAAGAAATATCCAATAGCACAATATTGCGCAATAGCAAGAAATTGTCAATTGTACAGTATTGCGCAATAGCAAGAAATATTCAATTGCAAAAGAAGATACTTCGTATAAATTGCTTATTTCTTGATCAATTTCAATGGGGTTTTATTCTTGAATTCTTGGGGTTCTTTAATATGCTGAATCTTACCGTGTATTAAGTTTTTGGATTTTGGGCCCCGTTTTTAAATTGGTCCACATTGAGGTCCAAAGGGTCCAAAATTAAACTTTGTTTGATTTCATCAAAAATTGAATTATTGGGGTTCTTTGATATGCCGAATCTAATCGTGTATTTAGATTCTTAATTTTTGGTTCCGTTTTCAAATTGGTCTACATTAAGGTCCAAAGGGTCCAAAATTAAACTTAGTTTGATTTTAACAAAAATTGAATTTTTAGGGTTATTTGATATGCTGAATCTAAACATGTATTTAGATTTTTGATTATGGGCCCAGTTTTCAAGTTGGTCCAAATCGGGGTCCAAAATTAAACTTTGTTTGATTTCAACAAAAATTGAATATATGGATATGGGGTTCTTTGATATGCTGAATCTAACCATGTATTTAGATTTTTGATTTTTGGGCCCTGTTATCAACTTTTTCCACATTGAGGTCAAAAGGGTCTAAAATAAAACTTTGTTTGATTTCATCAAAAATTGAATTCTTGGGGTTCTTTGATATGCTGAATCTAACCATGTATTTAGATTTTGGATATTGGACCATAATAGGTGAATGTCCAATTTAAAATGTTTAAGTTCTTAGACCACATTCATTCTGTGTCAGAAACCTATGCTGTGTCAAATATTTAATCACAATCCAAATTCAGAGCTGTATCAAGCTTGAATGTTGTGTCCATACTTGCCCCAACTGTTCAGGGTTCGACCTCTGCGGTCGTATCAAGCTGCGCCCTGCGGAGCATTTTATTTAAACTAGATACCCCAATGATGATTGTGGCCAAGTGTGGTCAAATTTGGCCCAGTAGTTTCAGAGGAGAAGATTTTTGTAAAAGTTTACGGACGAGGGACACAGGACGATGGATGCAGGACGCAGGACGCCAAGTGATGAGAAAAGCTCACTTGGCCCTTTGGGCCAGGTGAGTTAAAAAAGGGGAGGGTCACGGAAAATTACTTGTGAATTTTTCTTACTGTTAAAAAATGAGGCTGTAAAACTGTGTACGATGTTTTGAAAAAAAACCCTTAAATATACTTCTTGCATACCTTTCCTTGGATCCCCCTTGCTTTTTACAGAATGTAAATGAACTTTACTGTATACTTCGATTGACCTTTAAGTCATCATTCAGTGAATTCTGTTGCTGAAGGATTATCACTAGAAGAATACTCTAAATAACAATGTTAACATTAGTATGCTTATTGTGTTGCTGACAAAAATTGGAGGTTGATAACTTATTCAATCCCCTTTTTCCCTTTCTACTTGGGGAAATATTTGAAAATTGTAATTTAAGTCTTTTTTGTCACTTTTAGAATGGTCAGATGGTTGCAGACCATAATGCATTTAAGTTGAGAACTTACCGGTAACATTTCAATGCATTATAATGATATTAGAAATGAGGATCAGACAAATATATATTCAAATAAATTTTTTTTAAGTCTGATATATTTAAATTTTTTACCTTAGAAGTGAATATGACCACTTAAACATTAGTGATTGGAAGATGTTAAGTTACAAACAACAGAAAACAACTATAGCAATAAATATGATTTGAATATTCAAATGATATAGATAAAAAGAAGAAAATGTGAGAATACATTACCATCAAATGATAATGTACAATATTAAAAATCAGATGCATTGCTACAAAATGGCCTTTGAACTTCAAACCATACTGATCTGATGAGTCAAGCCCATTTCAACCGACTTTTACAGTTTGTTTTTATGTTGTGCTGTAACACCACTGTGCCAGGTAGGGTAGGGCCGAGTGCTTTCAAACAGGTTCAACCCTGCCTGGTTATTATTGGTTGCTGTATGTCAAAATTGTTTTCATCTTATGTTTGATATTCATATTGTTTCGTATCTTATTATCCCATGGCCTTTTATACAGTATGGGTTTTGCTCATTGTTGAAGGCTGTATGTTGACCTATAGTCATTTACATCCTTGTCCTTTGATTGCTGTTGGATAGTTGTCTCATTGGCTATCATACCACGCCTCCTTATTTCAAATCAACTAATTTACTATTTAGATTTTGATTGCTTCTGTTCAAGAAAAGTAATAAAAAAAACCCTCCACAATCAACTGACTCTTCCTATTTTCAGGTGTGTATCTAGAAACATAACATACATGTACATTGTGTATCTAGAAACATAACATACATGTACATTGTGTATCTAGAAACATAACATACATGTTCATTGTATGTTTGGCATGGCCTTATTATCTGTTTTTTTTTTTTTACTGCCACTTGTTTGCTGTGCTTTATTTTGGTATGAATTGATGGATATTCTCTACTGTAATAATGAAAGAAGAAGACACACCAAAAACTTATATGTGTTGTAAAAACTAAGAGATTAATTGACAAAGTTTTGAAACGGGAGAGTCTTCATTTTTAGTCTCAGTACAGACAAATCGCATGTCTCCTCCTGGATCCATTAATTTAAGTCTAGTATTGTTTATACTTCCAGCTAATCTAGTTTTACACAGAACAATAGAGAGGATACATGTTGGTAAGAAGTATGGAGACATACCAAGAGGTATATTTGTAGTCAGAGGAGAAAATGTTGTCCTGCTTGGAGAAATTGTAAGTACTTTTTATCAGTAGCTACAATGTGTGTACCTATTTCCCAAATTATTCTTTTCTAAGTTAAGAATTATATACTTGGTTTATATTTTATTGAAGGTTAAGGGGTGGTTATACTCAGGGAAAATGGAAAGTTCTAATGTGTCTTACCTTATATTAACTTATATGGTTTTGTTTAAATAACAATCAGTTTTAGATAAATATGATGTGGTTTAACAGTCTTATTGAAATGTTTGCGTTTCTATTATTTTAGGATTTAGCAAATGAAAATACTCTACCATTGGAAGAAGTTTCAATTGATGAAATTTTAGAAATGCAGAGGGAAGAACAATTAATTAAACAAGAAGAGGAAGAAAGAAAAAAGAAGGCAATGTTAGAACGTGGACTACAGCCTCATTCTGAACTACATGATGACATGTTTTAAAATTCTAATTTGCCTACATCCGGGTGAATCAGCGATCAGGATTTAATTGGTTCATGCAAAATACAGTCTTGTGATATTTGAATTCACAATGTGGAGTTTTATACTTTAAATAATAATGCTTTTAAAAAGTGCTAAAATAATGATCTGCCATACAATATTTTGTTCTAAAGATATGTTTTGTGAAAGGCATTCACAAATGTTAACATAAAAACTACATGAATTTGATATGATAAATAATTCTGTTGAATAAAGATAATTCAACTTGCAATTATATATGTTTGAAAAGAATTATTTATTGTACCACCTCCTTGGTCTTGTTAGAGTATGCAAATCTTGATTTTGTGATTTGTGTACGTTTTATTACAGATCCATTGAAAATCTCAAGATAATTAAGTTTACATTTTCTGAATCTCCATTTGCCTCACATAATTTAGTGGTAACAGAAGAGACTGATCAGATACATATCAGACGTGTAAAATGGATGGGATGACCTGTCTTAATGGGATCTATTACCGTTTGAGTTAACACTATAAAAAACCATCATGGTCTGTCAGATTAGCAGAACACAAGGCGTACTCATTTACTTAATTTTTTGCTATAATCAGAAATTGTTTCAATAGTATTTTCAAAGATGAAATAATTTATTGTCTCGCTTCAAAGAAGTAGAAAAAGCAAGACTTAGGTGGGCTGTTTCCTGTGGCTGCAGTGTCAACAATACTGTAAATTCAGAAATTATTGCGATGTTTTTATTATTGCGAAAAATGCGACAGGGTTATAATCGCAATAATTTTAAACTTGCATTTTGAAATTTTTCATATGAATTAAACAGGACTTTTCTCAATATCGCAAAAATCAAAATCGCATTTTAGTCTTAAATGACAAAATCGCAATAATAAATGCACGCAATAATTTCTGAATTTACAGTATATTAGTTTGTGATTACTGGCCATGGTAGGTCAGTTTGTGGGGAGCCACTAGTGGTAGGTCAATGATATTTGGTTTGCACATAAACATTAACACCCCCTAGTAGATACTATAGTTAACAGAAATTCTTCTGAATCTTTAAACTTTTGGCTTATGTAAATGGACAACACACAATAGAGTTTTTCTTAACAGCCATTGGATGTTTATGTCTTATCTCACATTTTTAGCTCACCTGGCCCAAAGGGCCAAGTGAGATTTTCTCATCACTTGGCATCCGTCGTCCGTCGTCCGTAAACTTTTACAAAAATCTTCTCCTCTGAAACTACTGGGCCAAATTTAACCAAACTTGGCCAATATCATCATTAGGGTATCTAGTTTAAAAAATGTGTCCGGTGACTTGGCCAACTAACCAAGATGGCCGCCATGGCTAAAAATAGAACATAGGGATAAAATGTAGATTTTGGCTTATATCTCTGAAACCAAAGCATTGAGAGCAAATCTGACGGAGGGTAAAAATGTTTATTAGCTCAAGATTTTTCTGCCCTGAAATTTTCAGATGAATCGGACAACCCGTTGTTAGGTTGCTGCCCCTGAATTAGTAATTTTAAGGAAATTTTGCCATATTTGGTTATTATCTTGAATATCATTATAGATAGAGATAAACTGTAAACAGCAATAATGTTCAGCAAAGTAAGTTCTACAAATAAGTCAACATGACCAAAATGGTCAGTTGACCCCTTAAAGAGTTATTGCTCTTTTATAGTCAATTTTTAACAATTTTTTTCGTAATTTTTTGTTATCTTTTACAAAAATCTTCTCCTCTGAAACTACTAAGATGAATTTAACTAAAGTTGTAAACAATCATCATTAGGGTATGTAGTTTAAAAATTGTGTTTGATGACCCCGCCCTCAAACCAAGATGGCCGACATGGCTAATAATAGTACATAAGGTAAAATGCAGTTTTTGGCTCATATATCTAAACCCAAAGCATTTCAAGCAAATCTTTCAAAAACAAAATTGTTCATTAGGTCAAGATCTATCTGGCCTTAAATTTTCAGACCATTCAGGCAACCCGTTGTTGGGTTGCTACCCCTGAATTGGTAATTTTTAGAAATTTTTTCAGCTTTTGGTTATTATCTTGAATATTATTATAGATAGAGATAAACTGTAAAGAGCAATAATGTACAGCAAAGTAAGACCTACAAATAAGTCACATGACCAAAATGGTCAATTGACCCCTTAAGGAGTTATTGCCCTTTATAATAAATTTTTAACAATTTTCATAAATTTTGTAAATTTTTACAAAATAATTTCCACTGAAACTACAGGGCCAAGTTCATTATAGATAGAGATAATTGTAAGCAGCAAGAATGTTCAGTAAAGTAAGATCTACAAACACATCACCATCACCAAAACACAATTTTGTCATGAATCCACCTGTGTCCTTTGTTTAATATGCACATAGACCAAGGTGAGCGACACAGGCTCTTTAGAGCCTCTAGTTTTGTAAAATTATCATGGTAATGGTATGCTCTCTATACTATCCATCTGTTGTGGTGGAATTGATTTTTATACGCCCGTTTACGGGACGTATTATGGTATACCGTTGTCCGTCTGTCCGTCCGTCTGTCAGTCCGTCTGTCCGTCGTCAACATGTCGGACATTAACTGAAAAATGCTTTCACCAATTTGCATAAAACTTTGGTGAATTGTTCATATTTATTGACGTGAGCTTCCTTTCGTTTTTTATAAAATTCAGATTTTACCTTTTCGATTTATGGGGTTTTATTCATTAAAAAAAGGGGGATTTTCCAGTTTTCGGACAATAAGTCAAGAATGCTTTCACCAACTTGCAAGAAATTGTGGAAAATTGTTTATATCTATTGACATGAGCTCCCTTTCGATTTTTATAAATTTTAGATTTTACGTTTCCGAGTTACAGGGTTTTATTCATAAAAAAAGGGGGGATTTTCCAGTTTTCGGACAAAAACTCAAAAATGCTTACAGCAATTCTTATGAAACTTTGGTGAATTGTTTGTATGTATTGATGTAAGCTCCCTTTAGAATTTTATAAATTTTACATTTTACATTTCTGAGTTGTGGGGTTTTATTCATTAAAAAAAGGGGTGATTTTCCAGTTTTCGGACAATAACTCAAAAATGCTGTCACCAATTCTCATGAAACTTTGGTGAATTGTTTATATCTATTGATGTAAGCTCCCTTTTTATTTTCATACATTTCTTATATGACATTGAGAATTAATTGAACTTTATTTGTTTATAGTCTGACAACAGATATACTTAGTATTGCACAACAGCAAGAAATCTTTAATTGAATATAAATTCAATTCATATGACCAATTTCAAGTTTTTTGACTACATTTATTCAGAAACCTATAATATGTCAAATATTTAATTACAATCCAAATTCAGACCTGAATCAAGCTTGAATATTGTGTCCATTTTTGCCCCAACTGTTCAGGGTTGGACCTCTGCGGGCGTATCTAGCTGCGCTCAGCGAAGCAGATTATTGGAGATACTATCCCTATTAATTTATGTGTTGCCATTAATTTATGTGTTGCCTGCAAGGAAAATGACTGTCAAGACTTTGGTATTTCTTTTCAGGCAACTGATAAAAATTACAATTACCTGTAACTGTTGTCCCTACTTTTACCATGCAATTAGTAAAAATGGTATGGAGACAGTAAATGCAGAGGCCTTGCTGTTGCTTCATATATTACACTCCAGTGGTCAGGTTAAGTTTTCAGGATTATGACGGCTCCCCAGTAGCTTTATATGAAAGGTTAAAGATACTTAGCATGCATATGAATGTAGATTTGTTCTAAAAGTATATGTATATGTGACATATTTCATATGGCCTTGACCTCATTTTCCTGTTTAAAAGGTCAGGTTTAAGTTTTTAGATTCATTCTACATCTTGGAAATTAAACATGAAATATCAATATTTTACATGTTTAATCACCAGAAGAACATGATGATCTGACCTGTTTGTTGACTTTGTTGACTTTGACTGAATAGTTTATGAGTTCATTGATGATTTAAAAACAAACTGCACCGTTTTCATTACAGAAATCAATTGGTATTTTTACACATTATCAGAATCAACACATCTTTTGTCCAAGTTAAATATTTATTTTGAGGAAACAAGTTAAAGAGGATAGAGCCAATTTTCAATGCATTTATTTCTAACCAAGACTTACGGTGGCTGGGGCGTCTTAATTAAAATATAGTATTTTTTGATAATTTGTCAAAATGAAGTTTTTATCATGCTTTTTTCAAAAAATAATAAAAAGTTTGGGTCACGAACTTTTTTTCACGCTAGAGGTTGTGCAAAATTGTCAGATTTTGTATAGATTATGCATGGAAAATCAAATTTTGTGTGATAAAAAGAAAACTACTTGATAAAACTTTAAGATAAAATGTGAGAAGATAGCTCTTATAAGATGGTTTCAGATAAGAAAAAGAAAAAATGGGGTCACCGAACTTGTTTTCTTGCTACATATCAAAATAGGTAAATTCACAACACTTTCTATTATAAAAATTACTTTATCTGAGTTATCTCCTCTTATTTGGCAAAGTTGAAAAAAATCTAATCAAACACAAATAAGGTGTTTTTGAGAAATTACAGCCGTAATTATGATAAAACACACAATTTTCTATATTTACATCAAAAGTCTTTTACATAAATTACATACTACTCTCAAAATTTGCACATTTCATGAAATATCTAGACCAACGTTATCTACTACTTCGAAATCCAAGATTGAGGAAGACACCCGAGCTTCCTTAATATAATCTTTATTAAGATTTTCTTCTTCAGGTGTTTAAGTTTGTAACAACAAAAGTTGAGAGGGACTATTATAATTCTCTTTTATTTTATGTGTCTGCATGCATATTCACAATAAAAGAATAAATATTGTTTGATTGCCAATAAGACAACTATCCACCAGAGTTCAAATATGAAAATGTAAACAACTAAAGGTCACCATAAAGCTTTCAACAATGCAGTAACTGAAATCTACTAAAGCATATTTCAACTAATAAACAAACCATGTTTTCCGAGACTAAAATATCGATCAGTTCACATCCAACAGATCTGGGACTATGATACTATATTATGTCCCAGAACAGATTGAGTGTAGAGACATTATAAAAAAGCATGACCTTGTGAAATGCCAAAAAATAGGAATCAACAGGATGTATGACCATAAGTGTTCCTGATTGTATGTTATAAGCAACCTGTTTTCAGAAATAGACATACTGTCATATAATTTCTGGAACTGAATTGCTAATGCATCTTGGAGAGACTGGCCACATGTCACAAGTT